CCCCCCCCCCCCCCCGCAAAAGGCACAGCCAGAGCTGCGCAGTAGAAATGCAACGGGGGAAACGTCTGCTGCCTTCCAGCAGCTTTGTTGGGGACTGAAGCGGTTATTTCCCAGGGTGCAAGTGAGGAGCCATACACAGGACACCCGTGGGTCCCACCGCCAGGGAAGGTGTCCCCCCCTGCACCCCTCTGGAAAGCACCCCTCTCCTTTCGGGGCTTTGGGTTTTACGCAGCGTGCAGTAGTGCTGCAGCAGGCACAGGGCAAGGAGTGGAGCAGAAACATCTCCCGTGGTCAGAAGGTCCCCTAGAGCTCTGGGGTCTGCTGCTGCGTTAGCAGGGACGGTGCCTGAGCTCTTGTGTCTGCAGACACAAAAGCGTGGCCCTGGCAGGACGGGGGGGTTGGTTACCCACAGTGAGGAGATGACGTCCTTCTGCCTAGATCGCCCTCCCAAAAACCCCTACCTTCCAAATGCAAATGAAAAACTTCCCCTCTTCTTACCTCTACTGAAGGTAAGAGGGGATTTACCCATGGAGCCCATCCTGCGTCAGGTAACTTGGTATCCAAACCAAATGCAGTTGAGGCCTTTGAAAGCTGTGGCATCCTTCAGCAAAAGCGTCTGGGAAGTTACAGAGAGAGTAAACTTTTGCAAACGTTGGCCTGGGCTTGGCTGTGATTTAACCTTCTTCCAAGCCTGGAGCTTTTGAAGCCTGCAAAAATGAGGGTGGGTTTTTTTCCCTCCCCCAAATCCTGGCTCTCAGGGTTTGTGTTTCCATAAGGAAGCTCTCTGGTCAGGGTTTTACGTAGCGAAGCCATAGATGGTCCCCCATGGAGATGAGGGATGCAGAGGGCCCGGGGGGTGGTGGGTGGTGATGGAGGGCATGCAGGAGCATCTCGCGTGGTGGTGGTGCATTGCCAGTGCTTCGTTTTCCCCTTTGCTAGGCTCTGCCAACATCAACGACCGCAGCATGCTGGGGAAGCGGGACAGCGAGATGGCCATCATCGTGCAGGACACCGAGACCGTCCCCTCCATGATGGACGGGGAGGACTACAGCGCTGGGAAGTTTGCCCAATCCCTCCGGCTGCGGTGCTTCAGGTGGGATGCACGGGGCTGGGCGAGTGCGGGCAGCGAGTGGGGATGCAGGCAGGGCTTGCTCAGGCTTACGCCTGCCCAGAGCCTTTCAAACCAGCGGGGCTGCTGCTGCCTGCTCAGGTTTAGCATTGCTTGGCCTGAATTTAGCCCAGAGTTTTGCCGCTGTTCCGTTGGCGTTAGCCTTTCTCACACCACTCCTGTCCTCAGCTCGGCAGCTTGACTTACAAATAGTTTTGCTCCAGGATTTCGCTAGGCGAGCTCATAAACAAGACAGTGATATTTTGCCTCCAGATCCTGTTTTCACACTCTCTCAATTTTGGATGGCGGTGTCTCTAATGGAAGTTTCCTCACTTGGAGCAGCCATCTGGCCCACAACACGGACGTTTTTTCATTAAGACCTTTTTCTTTTTTCTTTTCTTTCCCCACCCTGTTTCCCATCTGGACAGTTATTGCACAGAAAAAAAAACAAAAAGAAAAAAAAAAAGAGAAACTTGGGCAACATTAAGGCTGACAGACTATTGCAGGGAATGGGAGCAGGAGGGCGCTGGGAGCACGCAGCGTTTGGCAAGTCCCAAGGAAACTTTTCCTCCCCTACATTTTTCAAGAGGGGGAGTGCCTGGTGCTTCAGCCTCCGTGAGCATCAATCCCTCAATCCCTTTGTCTTCTCAGGGTTGTCCTTGGCGGCTCCGATCTCAGTCCGGAACATCAGGATCCCGTCTGTGACAAATTCTTCAAGGAGGTGTGGATTTCTACGGCAGCCCGCAATGCCACTATCTTCGACAAGGTGAGGGACACGGTGCCTTTCTCCTCCCTCCTTCCCACGTGGCAGCAGCAGATACCAATGGGAGAAGCAGCGCGGGGAAAGCAAGGGCAGCAGGTCCAGCTCCTGGGGTTGGACCATCAGAGGTGCTTTGAAGGAATGAGTGGAGTCAGATGGAAGAGCTGTGAAAAAGAAACTGGAATTTGTGCATCCTCAAAGTGAGACAGTGGCCCAGGAAGGCAGCAGTTCTGATTTCTCTTTTTTTTTTTTTTGTATCAAATATAGCTGCGGTGACTGGCTGTGGTGACTTAGTGTTCTTAGCTGGCTATAGCGTAACTGGAGTAGAATCAAATTTTACTTCTGGTTTCTAATGAGCTTTTGCAGTGATCAGAAAAGGCCCTGGAGCTTCCCCTCTGCCTGCTCCAGCCATATCACAGATAGGCACGTACGTCTTCCCTCCCTGTTCTTCAGGCTGTTAATTAAGTCACTCCCATCCTGGGGAATTTGTATTAGATGTTTTGGTCTTTCTTGGGAGCTCTGCATTGCAGTATTTCCCCGGCACTGACGCGCCACTTCTTGTTTCTGTTTTGATCAGGTTTTTCGGTGCCTTCCCAGTGACCAGGTGAATAATTTAACCCAACTGCGTGATTTCATCAACAAGCCCAAATTAGCGAACGATGATCCTGCGAAAGCTGCAGAAGAATTAAAAAAGATTCGTGGGTTTTTAGTACAATTCCCCTTTCGTTTTCTGGAGGAAGAGTACTTGCTTCCCTCCGTCGGAACAAAAGAGTCCATGGTACCCATGGAGGTTTGGACTTAAGAAGATGCAGACTGCTTTACGTTTTAAAGCCTGGTTCTCTAGAGACAAGCTGATGAACGATACGGGATTTCAGAAAGCTTTTTATTGCTAAGGGAGGCGAAAAAGATCTCCACCAAGCTAATGTGCCTTTCTTAGGGATTTTGGTGGAGGAACTTGAAGCAAATTGACACTAGCAAAGGAGGGGAGCAGAAAGACTTGGAAATTATGGCAAATAAGAAGTTTAACCTCTGAAGGAGTTACTGCTTAAGGCATGTTCTGAGCACCTAAAGGATGCAGGCCACTTCCTAGGACAGGAAACAAATTCCAATCGATGTCGTTACTACTGCCAGCTGTATATTGTGGTTGCGTGCGTACTGTAATCCTGCTGTGGCTGTGCAGGAGCCGTGGGCTGCGTGTACTTCTAAGGCTTTTGGGTATCGGCACCTTGGCTCACTGGAATCCCCCATCTCACCCCTTTAGTTGCTCTTGCGCTGCCGGGAAGTGCTGCTTGGTGCTGCCTTGGGCTGTCCTACAGCTAGCCTAGTGTAGGTATTTCACTTCGTAAATGGAAACGGACTAACAATCTTGTATCAGAATCAGCATTTTGGTCTCTTCTCCCCTCTGGGGGGAAAAAAAAAAAACCAACAAACTGTTTCTACCATAGCTAGAGCAATCAGCAATCCTTGTGCAGCGCAGCATTGCCTAGGTCTTGGCAAAGAGCAGCCTCGATGGAGCCAGAGTGCTGGACGTCTCTGGAGTTTGCTGGCCTTTACAGAAATGCAGCACATCAGTTTGTTCGAACTGCATGAAGGCTTTCTCCAGGAGAGGATCAAAGTTTAAACTCAAGCCTTAGATCTCCAGAGCTCAAGGAAAGCAAGGCACTGCATGTGACGGGACAGAAACTTAAAAGCCAGCGTGGGCCAAATGAAGCCCTGCGCTCCGGGTCCTCAATTCGTACATTTCTATTGCAGTACATAGGTAGAACTTTCTTTCCATCTCTTTCCTCCCTATTTAAAAGAAGGGAAAGGCCATTAAGCTAGAGCTGACGCCATGCGCGAACTAAGCTGACGTGTCGCTTCGTAGTATGGGGTGGATGCAAGGGGGACGGGGAGCAGCTGGCAAAGCTTTGTCTCTGGTCTGCTTTGTTATCAGGCCAGCCACAATCTTGAGCTCAGTCATGCAGGACATGTCTTCCCAAGCACAGGTAAAACTCAGCATGCTCAGTCCTGTTTTCCGTTTCTGTAAGACAGTTTCCAAAGCTATTTTGCATCTCGCTGTGCAGCGAAGCAGCAATTCGATTCAGCATCCCTGGACAAAACACTACCGCTCCTGGGCCGGGACCTCGCGTGGTGGGTGCTGTCCTGGGTCTTCCCTCCATCCTCCATGCTGCAATGAGCCGTGTCTCCCGATGTCACGTCCAGCTCCAACTGCGGTCCCAGGAGAGACGTTCCCCGGCAGGCAGCAGTGCCGTGTCCAACACTAAGAGATCAGACCCTTAGAAATGCCTAAGGGGGGGTCGGATCTGGAGAAGTGGGAGGCTGAGCTCCTCTGCTGCCACTGTGTCTGGGGGGGATCCCTTTGCTAGCTGGGTTTAACCCTGTGCCCAACTCTCCTTAGTCAAAAGACCAGGTGAACTGGTATTTACTTTAGTTCACAAGCAAGTTGGGTTTTTTTCCTCTTTTTCTGGCTCTTCCAACAGTCTCACCTGTTTTTAACTGGAAAAGAATCACACTGGTTGCCTAGCTATCCCCAAAACATAGCTGGCACCGCATTTTAGCTCATTGCCTTCTGCGTCTTCAGACCTGTAAATACGCACCGGGTACTTCTGTGCCTGCTGCATCACCTGAGTAAGTAACAACCCCAGACGTTCCTCCAGGGCAGCCCGAGTCTCAGCCCCTTCCTACAGTTTTCACTGTTTTAAGCTCATGTTTTGTAGATGCAATTGCCAATTAGACTCCTTTCTGGTTGGTACATCTGTGGTCTGGTTAGCCTGTTGGAAGTGCTTGTGCAGCATTTTATGTGATGACCTTTGGTCCAGGGGGTTGATGCTTTTAGCTGGCATGCTGTAAGCAGATAAGTATGTTTCCTTGATTTTTTTTTCCCTTAAAAAAATTGACCTGGGGTCACCCCCTGCAGAGCCAGAGCGATATGTGCCCTGACCATTTGCAATCAAGAAAGATCAAAGGTGTCTTGTTATTTCATGTCAGTGCTAGTTCAGAGCTTTTCTCTCCTGATATGTTTTTAGCTGTTTTAGTTTGAACAAAGCTGCTAACTTTAAACAATTACAGCCTGTCAGAGAATCATTGTAAGTCACACGGATCTGTATTCATAGTTGAAAAGGAAGCATTCAACCCTGCTACACGTCAACCTTGAAGAAGTGCAAGACTCCTGTCATCTTCTAAGTGCTCTTATTGTCCCCGTCCTCATATTAGCAAAGATTCTTGTAATCGTTAAATTATCCTTATATTGTCTTTTAAGGTGGTAGGTAGCTAATTATTGGGGCTTCATAACTCCAGTGGCGTTAAGTCCCCCTCTGCCAGGCTGCTTTGGGGAAAAACCTCCCAGGTTCTGCAACACTCAGCCCACCATGTGATGGCTGCTGGTCCCAAGCAACACAGCAGAGCCATAGAGGAGAGATTTAGTTGACTGATTCGGTATGAAAAGGTGCTAATTAAGAAGGTCTTTCATTATTAAAGTAGCAGACGGGCCTCACATTTGGCTTCTGTCCGGGAGGGGGTTTCCCTCTGTGGGAACAGAAGAGCCGCGCTGAACATTCCCTTCCCTGCGTTGGTGCTAAATTCCTGATACCGGGAATTTAGTAGCATTCAAATGCAAGCAAGGTGTGCAAGGCAGCCTCGGCCCAGTGCAGAGCGCCCTGCATCCCCAGGACCCCCCCCGTGGATACAGCATTGCTCGCCCCAAACAGATGATGGGGCTGGAGCCATTTCCAGTGAAGGCACGACTCTTGTTTGTACCCGCGGGCTGTGTCGTTCCTTGGGTCCTGTGAACAGGAGGTTTATTTCTTATATTAAGAAGCCTGTGAGGTTGAACACCTTGAGAGAGTTAATTTCTGCACCTAAACAATCACTACTTAGTCGGTAATACCAGCGTGGGTTTATTTTTAATACCTTCAAACGGGAGAGGATCACTCGCAAATACACAGTACTGTAACAAGTGATGTGGATTCAAGCACTAGCGAACCCAGAAACATGAACTGTTTCTTGTGGCATTTATTTGTTAGAACTATGGGAAATGAGAACTTCTCCCAGGCTCAGACTTTATGTTGTAGTTCAACCTGAGTAGAACCCTTTTTTTTTTTTTTTCCCTTTAATTTATTCCTTAACATGTGCCACTTTGAGAACTCACACTCCTTACCATATCTTTTTTAATAGTCTGATATTTTAAAATACATGTATTGTTGTATAGATGTTGGACTGGATAAATGTTTCACTGTAAAGTTAATGCATGATTTAAAAGATGAAGGATAAACCATCATCATATGTAAGAACTTTACTAAAAAGTAATTTGTAGGAGAACTACTCCAGTGCTCCATGGCAGATGCAAAGTGCTCGGCTCAGTTTCTGGTCCCTTGGTCTCAGTTTGTCGCCTGACTTGATGTGACCTTCGCTGGATTAAACCCCAGACACTCCATTTTCCTTTCTTTTGATCAGGTTTCACAACATGATTTCTCAATCCTGGTGCTGTCCCTGGGGGAGACCTCAGTGCAGGTTTTGCCTAGCTGGGACCCTGACATTAATAATATACAGTATCTTTATTCCTTCCAAGGAAACATCCATGTACAATCAAGCTCAGATGTGATTTGCTATTGTTATTTCAGCGTAACAAATCTTTTGTGCACTTGTAGTTAGGACAGTCGTGGGGTTGTAATCTGTGCACAGAGGCTGCATTTGGGAGGATGTTTAGATGAATGGTCCTTCAGGTTAATGCCATTTCTTTCTCCTCCTGCCAAATTGACACACCTCCATCAGCTGCGGAGCTGCTGCACTGGTTTTCTGGCAGAAAGGACTTGGTGTGTAGGGCACGGTGGTGGTCGAGGTGAAGAAAGCAAGTGGTCTCCGGACCAGGTATATGGGTAGGGGTTAGCATCTTTTGGCTGGCCCACAGGACGTGAACGCAGTCTCGCATTTTGTGGCATTGTTTCAAAAGGGCCATGCCTTCTGCACAGCTGAGATCCTGCTGAAACCAGGAGCTTTGCAGAATGGAGGTTTTAAACAAGGAGTGTAACGCCATGGCAGTGAATCGAGTCAAGCGTGCCAAATTAAGGTAGATCAAAGTGGAGCAGACCCACAAACTGTATGTCGACCACTGAATGCAATGATCCTCTTGGGGTTTCTCCTCCTCTTCTTTTTTTTTTTTCTTTTCTTTCTTCCCTGCCTGCTTTCTTGTTGTATTTTTCAGTATTTGTGATTATGATATTTTTAACCTCCCACTGTGTGTTCATAAAATCTCCTCCATGTAAATAATTCTGACTTACCAGATTCTTTCTTGACACTCGGGGAAACAAGAAAAAGTGTCGGAGGTCACAGTTCTGGGAATGTGGGTTTTTTTCTAACTCATGTCTCTAGCTAAACTGATCAACAAAAGGAGAGCTTCCACTTCAAGCATGAGTGCAGGTCTCCGTGCGTCTCTACCTTCCGACGATGCAGTGAACACTGAATATCCCTTCTGTGAAGGCTGCTGGAATTGTTTTGTATCCTTGTTTCTGCTAACGATCGCTTTCCTTTCCACTCCATTTGTATCTGGTAAATGAATGTGTATTAATGGCCTGAAAATACAACTGATCCTCCTGTGTCAAAACATTTGGCTTTGGTCTCGTTTCTGCTTGCTTTGGGGACTGTGGCCATGTCCCGCTTGTGGGCTGACTTCTGCCCTTGCCTTGCATTGGCAGTGCTGCCCCAGCAGCCACGATGTGATGGAAAAGGCCCGGGGTCGCACTAAAAATGGCTAGACTTGAGTCATTTGGGTTTTCCTGGGAGGGAGAAATTGCTGAAGTGAAACAGCATAGAAACACAAAATTGGACTTCTTAAATTAAATAAATTAAAACCTCCTGTTTTAAAGGAGTTTTAATAATCCAAAGGCTTTATGGAAGGCACAGACAAAAATGGTCTGTCTCCAAAATAGAATTAACTTGCCACTGTCCCTTTTAACTTTCAGTAAAGGAAATTCGGCATAAAGAGAGGAAAAAGCAGATCACTGTTGTCCTCCAGGGGGAGAAGAAATGAATAAAGCATCAGTGGCATTTCCAAGCTCTCTCGCAAACTGAAAACATATTAACTTCTCTGTTTCTTATGTTTCATCTCCTTCCTCAAAAGCCAAAGGGCTCTCTGCATCTTCAGAACTTCCAGCTGCAATCTGTGCTGTTGATAAACACAATAAACTGAGATAGCAGAGCCGGAGCTTCGGGGCCGGGGGTGCGTTGGTACAAGGCAGGCAGCTGCTGATTGACACCGTCAGCTTCTGCTGCCGCTCCGACATCTCACGGCTAATTACATGCTCGCTGCATCACGCTTAGGAGGTCTTGCGAGCGGAGATAAGAGCAAGCAGGAGCGATGCGGAGACCCGCCAGCCACCGCTGGGCGCGGAGGTGCTGGCTGGCAGCGGTGCAGGCGCGGGGGGAACGCCGGGCGGCCGCAGCTGAGGCCGGCAGCCGTCGCTGGCTCTGTCTTGCCGGCATCGGTTGGTTTCTGCGCGAGCAGCGCAGGAGAGTCGTGGCATCTCAGGGCAAGCTTATCTCGGTGGGAAATTAGCGTGGAACTAGAAGCGGTGCTGAATCTAGGGAGTTTGGGTATCGGTCTGTAGGGCGGACGGATGCGTTCCCTTTCCTATGGGATGTAGGTGCCCAACTTGAGGGTACTGTTGCTGCTTTGCTGTTTTGCCTCTCCAACACATAGGCACACAACGCTTTTACCGGGCACAACTTCACCCACGTCCATCAGCCCATGGAAAACACAAGTGGACGCCAGCTTACGGGCTATAGCTGGCACAAGGCGCGCAGGGGAGGCAGGACCGCGCTGCCTCCGGCGAGGGCGATGGCAAAACTCCCTTTGACTTTCCTCCGGCCAAAGCGTTCGCTTGATGAACGACTTGCAAAGCCTCTAATTTGATGGCTCCTCGCTGAGCAGAAATGCAGCCCACGCATACCCTGAACACAAAGCAACATTGCCAATACGTTTAATAGAACTGTTCTTTCCAGGATGGATTTCTTCAGCTGCTTTTGTATTGAGGCCATTCCTGCCTCCTCTCACAGATCGGCTCCTCCATCGCTGATGTGTCCGCTGGCATCCTGCGCCGGAGGCTGGAGAAATCTTCTCCTCCACCCCAGCACCAAGCAGATCTGCTCTTTGGACCTTCGTTAGCCATGCATTTATGCACTGAGCTCTCAATAACGTGTCAACTTTTTAATTAGTGCCAGCCTTTTGCGTGTATGAAATTACTAATACTCTTTAGTTATTTTTGTAGAGGAGGAAAGTAGGGAAGAAAGAAAGAAAGAAAAGGTTTTTGTGAGACGGGTCTAAAGGCACGTGAAGAAACGTGAGGTTTCTTCTCACTGCTAAAAATCAATCTGTTTTAGTTTCCTTGCAATTGTGCCGGCTCTTCAGATTTTCAAGTACGTCTCTGAAGCGCTGATGCAGTGGAGCGAAGGTTTTAAGAGCTTGAATCACAACAGCACTGAGAGTGAAATGCTCAATTTTTTTTTATTGGAAAAATTAAAAGTGACAGTTTCAAAATTGGTTCCACTGCTTTGATTGATTACTCAGAATATTTAGCTCAAAATGATTATGGCAAGATTTTCTACTGAGGCTCGTGGCTGGGGTGGGAATTAATTGGGGGGGGGGGGGGGTTTTTAAAAAAGAAATTATTCTGCAAAGGAAACTGTTTATACCCAGAACCAGTGATGAGTAATCTCTCCATATTCAGCCTGATCTCAATAATTAAACATCCTGTGAGTTCCTATTTGAGGACAAAGGAGAGGAGGCCGGGGAGATAGACGGTGTTATCATGGCTTCACAGGTTTCTATTATCTGGAGATTACTGGTGCCCAGCAGAAGAGGTGGAGCCGTCCGCGTGCTGCTCAGGAGCTCTGTCGTGCCCTGCTGATGGCCCATCCATACGGTACGGCCCTACCGGGAAACCTGGCCCACAACCTCGGCCAAGGGTTGTGCATTTAATGAGGCAGAGGAGTGCTGGAGTCCTGCTGGGGCAGATGTGCTGGAAGTCGCCCATCGCCGGGGGGGAGAAGGTGAAGGTGGTGTGGGCACGACAGAAGTTCAGGTAAGAGCTGGTCCCACCTCTTCAGCTGGAGAAACCACCAGGGCCAAGGGGCGCGGTGGTTGCACCAGGGCTTTGGCACCCATGGGTGCACCACGCTGTCCAGGCAGATGCCATCCCACCGCCTTGGTCTTCAGCTTCTCTTATCCTTGCCAGGTCCTTGTACGCTGCCTTACGTTCCCGCAAAAGAGACAGCTTAAAAGCAGCCGTGTCACACGGATGCTCCGGCGTGTCCAGGCGGATGGCTGCTCTCTTGCTCCAGGTCCTTCCTGGGACCAGCCAGGAGAGGGGGGACAGACAGGCTGGGCTGTCACCCAGAGAGACGCCAATCTTCCCGGCTCCCTCCTGCCCACAGCTTTGGAACTCTGTCCCGCTCCTGGTGTGCTGCCTTTGGCATTTATCTGATTCCTCCAGTTTATCTCACAAAACAGGCAGAAGTATTTATATTCTCTTCTCTGGGTTGCCTTCCTTATTTCATTCTTTACCAACCAAGCCTCGGTAGACTCACGGGCTGGAACGTGCACATTGTACGTCCAAGACAAACAGAAAACGTATCCCTCAGGAGAAGACTCAGTCTGTTTGCCCGACATTTTTTAATTTCGTCTTGAAAGATGGGTTTGAGACTTCAGATTTTGCAGGGGTTTTTTTACATTTCAGGATTTCATGTTTCAGCCATGCTTCCTCTTGAAATAGACGCATGGTTTATGAAATAAAACATAAAGCACTGTAACTTCAGAAATATGAACTAAATACTATATACAGGATTAATTTTAGGCAGAGTTAATGGCTTGCTTTATACAGAAAACTCCTATTTTGGCCAGGATTAGATGTGGAACTGGGAAACTCCAGAAACGAAGGCAGCTGTAGCCACAAGCCATGGACCAGCATAGTACAGCGGTCGGAGGATGTTTGTCCTGGGGTGTCTCACGTCTTCTACCCAGCAAATCCCAGGTGAACCCCATATATCTGTCAGGACTGTGTGTTGACCAGCACATACTGATGGGAGAGAGTATAGCAGATACTGGTAATTGGCTGGACGTAACCTGTGCATTTAATTACATGCAGGAATTTAAGCTATGTTTCCTTGGAGCCACACTGACGTGTGATTTCACCGATAGGTCACTTTTCGGTAACATTCAACCTAACTCCTCTTGCGCTTGCCACAGCCGGAGGAGAACAGCTGCCCTGTCGAGGTGAGTGTAGGGATGCTGGGCTAAACTGGGCTGCAGCCTACAGCCCTCCGGGGACCGCGTGGTGGGAGGGAAGCGTCCATCTCCGCACCCGCGAGGACTCGCCTTCCGATTTGGGTTAAACCTGCCATCGAGATGACGTTGGCTACGGCTGGGGACGCATCGGAGGCCTGGAGCCCTGCAAAGCAGGAGCTCGGACGACTTTTCCCTGGATGCTACTTCCCAGCTTGGTGGGGAGCCCCTGCTCTACCTCGCCCGCTCCATCCCAGCCCTTGCCTGCATCCCATCCCTCCCAGCACCAGGAGGGACAAGCTGGAGGCCTGATGCCACCCAGGAGAGACGCACAGGGCTCAGCAGCCGTGCATCCCCCAAACTGGTGCCCATGGCTGGAGGGGAGAGATGCTTTTCAGCGCATCCAAATCCTCCCCGGCACCAAGGGCTGGGTGGCTGCGGTCCTCTAGAGGGTGCTGCGGGCTCAGCGTGCTCACCCACAAAAAAAAAGATGGGTGCCCGCTTTCCCGGGCCCTGACCCGGGGGGCTGGGTCCTGCCGTGCCTGCTCCCTCCTCCACGGTGCCCTGGCTCCCGTGGGAGCTTCTCTCGAAGGGCTGCAAAGCCCCTGGGGTGCAACCCCAAATGTGGCCTTGCTGGCTGCACCAAAGAGGCTGCTGGGGGGGCTGGCGGGTCAGCGCCTTCCCCTTTCCTCTGAACACGGTCACGCTGAGCCGTTTTAAAATGAAATACTAGGTATACCTCACCTCTCTGGGCTTAAATACATTCCCTGTCTAAAACGTTACTCCCAGAAGCCTGTATTGGCTCTCAAATGACTCGCTGCAATATACATCTCCACTTTGTTTCCTCGCAGACCATATCTGTATGACATCAATTGTACTGGCGAAGAATGCTTACAAACCTGTTTCCTGCTGCAGGATGATCACATTATACACAATTACACACTCTAGGAATTTCTCCTGAGATCCAGCTGGGTACAGGCTGGAGCGGCGGAGGAGCCGGAGCGTGTGCGGAATAATGAATCATTCATTCAAACCTCCGCGCTGACTTCAAGCTCTTGGGTTGTGCGAGCATGTGGTGAGCTGCGCTAGCTGCTTGTTACCCTAAAAAAAGCCTGAACGATCTAAATCATTCCAAATTTGGTTTCCACTGTGTCTGTATGCTTTCTGTGTCTTGCCATTTCATTATTATTATTTTTAACATTATTATTATCAGAAAGGTTTATGTAGAATTTATTCAAAATGTCTCAGCAGGAGGAGTCTCCCTGAGCTGGGACGTGCTATTTCAGAGACTTTCTCAGCAGGAGCAAAATCCAGTTGTCCATGTCCATGAGGTTCCTCTCCTCAGAACAGACTTAGACCAGTATCGCCTGTCCTGTGTTACTGGTGGTGATGGCAGCAGCAGCAGCACTGTTATGCATTTGCATTGCAGCACCATGGTGCACCTTTCCAGGATCCTGCAATGCTAAGGGACCTAAAACCACAGCATTTCCCTAGAAATCTGATAGCCGTATATAGGACAAAGCCGACTGGAAACATGGAGATGCTATTTGTCCTCATGATGGGTAGGGATCTCTGTGAAAACTAGGTAGTTTCTTTTCTATAAACCAGTAAACTGAAGCTTTTCTTTGACCCGCTAGCAGATCCCTCTAGCAAAACCGTGTGTCGTAGTGTCATGGGAGCGACATGGAGGTGACGCCTGGACGTGATGAACCCTCCTGGTGAGGAGCACGAAGCCCATCAGGCCATGCTGACCGTCCCTGAGCGCAGGGCGCTGGCACGGCTGCGGTGCCGGGGCTGCAGCGTGGTGTTTTGCAACACCCCACAAAACCAAACCGCCACCTTCCTCTTCCTCTTCCTCTTCCCGGCCGAGTCATGCCAGCAGCAGGTCTCCTGCTCTGCATCGCTCGTTCCGGCCTGGTGAAGCAGCCCCTTGCACGGCACCAAGTCAACCGCTTCCCTGAAACCCAGCTCTATTTTATTCACTGTTTCATTATTATCTGCCAGCTCAAAAGGCTGCAGCATATTTGTTAGCTAAAGATTTCCTTTTAGGGAGCTGGCGGCAGATTATCCTGGCTCTTTCTAACAATGTGTAATCTAAGCTGTCACCCACATTTCCAATATTTTCCTTCTGGTAAGGCTACAGCAAGGCTGGAATGGAGCCAAGGTGCCGGGGAGCCCTCCTCACACAGGATGGGATGGTCGCTGGGACCTCACACATCCCATCACCTCCACCCTCAGGTCATCTGAACTTACCTTTGCTTTCTTTAACCCTCTCAGGGATCGTATTCTACCGTTTTCCTAGGGCTACGACTTTCAGATGTTTACTTCTTTTTAAAGTATACTAAAGTATAGATGTCTGGTTCCAGGATCTGCAAAAGTGCTGAATATAACAAGAGTTGGGACAAAAATCAAGCGAGCTGGCCCCATCTCCTCCCCATGGTAACACCCAGCCATGCTGCTTGGAAGAACCATCCTTTCTGAACAGGCTTGTACATTCTCCTTTTGTTCAGTATAACTTCTGTTATATCGTGTTCATATAAACTTCTACAAAAATAAGTTAATATGGGATTTACTGGTACACAGGCTTTTTGCTAGTTTTCCGATTTCACTCTCTGGGTGTGTTTAGCAGGTGCCCAGCATCTTGTTGATAAATTTGAAGTGGACATTTCCCAACGCTATAGGAGATAATGTTAATTTTGACCCTATATGCTTCTTTCTTTCTGATTAAACGGCTACTGCTGTTGGTGGTTTTACTGTGTTTAATCTGAACTCGGTATTGAGCTGACGTGCTCGTTATGTTCCCAAATTGCTTAATCTGCAATGTCAGGACCTGAAACAAAACACAGGCAATACTGGTAAGGGCGAACATGGTTGTTTTGCATGCCTGGAAGAAACTGCTGTCTTACAGTTGTCTTACAGGTTTTTTTCATTATTTTTAATGGGTAATTTCAGGTCAGCTGCATCTCAGCTCTTACACTAGCTCATGTTAGAGACAGAAAAAAAGGAAAAACAAGGCTGAAAGAGGGCCTGCATGTTTCAGGAGCTCAAGTCTTATTCTCCAAAAGCAACCTGGGCTTTTAGCAGCCTAATTGCCATTGACTAGCAGTCAGACTAGTTCTTAATGCTCAGTTTTGCAGAGGAAAAGGCTAATTCCCTTTCAGCAAACAGCCTGTGTCAGCTACGGCACTTGCAAAACTCATACTTTGCTGCATGTGTCATTTGGTGCTTCTGAGAGCGTGGTTGCTCATAAAGTGCTAAATCCGCCACCTGCCTACATAGAGGATAGTGGATTTTCTGTCAGGATATGTCTAACTTGTTTCTTAAGATATTGTGTAAAGCACTGAAATCTTCTTTAACAACTAAATAATCCAGAGAAATTTTGCAGAGAGGTCTCTTGTGGGGCTGTCAGCACTTTCCCTCCGTGCGTTTTGGCGAGATGCTGTGGTATGGAGGGGAGATGTCTGCAGCTTGGTGTTGTCTCAAGGCTTGAGGATTTCACTAATGAGTTTTCACAATAAGTATCTTTGGTTAGGCGCCACTACTGATGACTGGCTGAAATCAGTGCAAGCATTACTTGTGGGAGATGAGCTTTAGTATTTACTCCCGTGAGTATTTTTTTCTGACTGACACTCAGCTCCTACTGATGTCTTTCCAGGTGGAAGGCTCCAGATGAACCCCTGTTTATTCACCTCCATTTGGGATCTGGAGGCGGTGGAGGGGGAGCAGGGCGTGTGGGATGGGGGAGCAAGGCGAGGGGCAGGGGATGGATGTGGGGGGGGCAGGAGGGGCTGGCCATGGGACCAGGGTGTGCAGCACTGGTGGGCTCACTACATCTACCCACCATGTGCCAAAGTGACCTCTGGACGATGCTGCTCACCAGAGAATTTGGCTCAGTATCTTCAAAATATCTCCACTGCACATCACTCTGGTTTATCATCCCTGTCCAGCTTGTCTCATTGCCTCAGCCATGTCTTCGTCCCCTGTTTACCTCCCGTTGCTGTGACAGCCTGAATCTGTGCCTTAGCAGTCACTCTGCACTTCTTCAGAGCAGACTCAGTCCATTCCCTCCTTCATCAGACAAGGCACATATGCAGATTGTTCCCTGTTTATTTTAATAATGTATTGGTCATTTTACAGAAACACCTTGTGACTTTATTTCATGCCATTACTGGGCTGTCATTTATTCCAGGTAAGGGAAATTGCATGTTTTCAGCATTCAGGAGTCTTTCTCTTCCAGTTACTGTATTCCCATGTGCTGTGCATGCTGTATATGTTATTAAAAGTCAAGTGGTGCAGAAAGGATGGCAAGAAATCAATCAGCTTGTGAAGTATCCTCAGTTTCCCTCGAGTTGCTGCTGCACCCTTCTTGCCAATCTTTCTTTCATGCCACATAACCATGGATCTCTCTCTCCGAGATGTGCGGAAGACAGCCGAGGCAGGAGGACACGGAACAGTGCCAGCAGGTGAAGTGCCCAGTGCGGGTCCCAGCTCACCCCATGCAGCAGCAGGACAGACTTCCCACCCCGGTGGCATTGCAGAGCCCATCTCAATGTGGCCAGGAGCCACAAACTGAGAATCACAAACTTCTGAAACCCCGAGATTAATTAAATATATAATGTCACTTTTAAAAGTCTCTCTAATACGCTAGCTGCTTTGAGCCTGTAGGGGCCAGAATTTCAAAGGAAATTTTCCAGTTCATCCTTCCCACTCAGCACTGGTGCACAGGGGAAATGGGGCTCCGTCACATCTTTGTCATTTGGGGTTGATCTACCCTTCTTGCCAAGGTTTTTCTGAGTGTCCTATTTAGTTCCCAGCTGATGGCTTCCTTGCTGTAACCTGCTCGTGAGAGCCCAGACTGCGGGCTCAGATGTGGGCAGGGTTTCCCCCTGCTCTGAGATCAGCCCACTCTTTTCTGCTTTTTTAACTGAAGATGGAGTCATTCCACTGAACATGCAGCATGCCATTCATAGACATTTTCAAAACCACCTAGT